GGGTGCCGGAGCCTCCGCTGCAGCGCCCGGGATCCGGCGGGAGCTGCGGCCCCGCGGGGCGCAGAGCTGAGCCCCTGGAGCAGAGGTGCTCCCAGGGCAGCTCCACGGGTGCCATCCATGCATCCCGCCCTGCAGGTGATCACGGGGGGACACTATGATGTGGACTGCTACGTGGAGGACCCCAATGGCAAGACCATCTACAAGGAGACCAAGAAGCAGTACGACAGCTTCCCGCACCACACCGAGGTCGAGGGCGTCTACACCTTCTGCTTCAGCAACGAGTTCTCCACCTTCTCGCACAAAACCGTCTACTTCGACTTGCAGGTGGGCGACGAGCCGCCCATCCTGCCCGCCATGAGCAACCGAGTCACTGCCTTGACGCAGGTTAGTCGGGCGCCGCGACGCCCTTAGCGCGCCAGGAAGCAGCTCCCGCTTGTGGCCAAACGGCCCAAAGCCGCAGGCGGCCGGGCAGGACCCATCCCCTCCCTGCGCCAAAAGCAGAAGTGCCCGGGGCACAGCTGCCACCGTGTCCTGGAGCGAGGGCAGAGCGCGCAGGGACGGGTGTCGAAGGGGGGCTGCGCTTGGGGCTGGCGTCCACCCCCTCCCCAAAATCCGAGCCCAATGCAGGTGCCTGGGGGGCTCTTGCCCGCCCTCCCCGGGTCTCCCCGTCCTGCCCAGCAGCACAGGGAGCAGCCGCCCGTCCCGGCCGCCCGGGGATGCTCCCCAGCCACACGTGCCGGGGCCGTGTGTGTGCCCGCAGCTGGAGGCTCACCATCCACGAGGCCCTGAACACGGTGATAGACTCGCAGACCCACTACCGCCTGCGGGAAGCGCAGGACCGCAGCCGCGCCGAGGACCTCAACGGCCGCGTGTCCTACTGGTCCGTCGGGGAGACCCTCATCCTCTTCGTGGTCAGCGTTGGCCAAGTGATGCTGCTCAAGAGCTTCTTCACCGAAAAGCGGCCGGGCAGCAGCGGGACCGGCACCTAGGGCCGGAACCTGGGCCCATGCCCAGACCAGCACAGCAGCGGGACGCAGGAGGGAGCAGATGGACAGACAGCGTCTCCGGGTCACGCGTCACCGCTGTCCCGTGCACGGCCTCCCCCTGCCCCTCCAGAGCCCAGGGTAACCGTGCAGTGCCCAGCACGGCCCCTGGGTACTCGAGGGGCACGGGGCAGAGCAGCGCCCACAGTGTCCTGGGCTGTCCCCTTAGCCTGAGGGACGTGACCCTGCACCCAGAGCGGGGGCCACCTCCGTCCCCAGCGCTGCCCAGCACGGCGGGGCCGCGGGAGCCCTTGGGAGCTTGGAGCGGGCACGTGCCCAACCTCACAAGCCTGAGGGAGCCTGCGGCCAGCGGGAGCCCCCAGCCCCTGCCCTGCCACGACCGCAAAAAAAAACACGGTCCCTCCTGCCCCCAGCCTGCAGGGACCCCGTCAGCACCCGCGACCCTTCGGAGACGGGAGTGCGTGCGGTGCTCGCTCCTGCTGCAGAGCCACTGCGCTCTCCCGCTGCTTCCCCTCCTCGCAATAAACCTGTGCGATCGTGGTCCCCGCTCCCGATACCTCCCAGGCGCGGGCAGCGAGGGCCGTGCTCCCCCGGTGCTCCGGGAGCACCGTTCCCCGTGCACGGCATGGTCTGTGTGCGCCGCGCACCCACGCAGCTCCCCTGCCGCGCGGGACGGAGCCAGGCGCCCTCCAGCCTTGCAGGGGGCTGCAGCTGCACAGCAGCGTGCGGAGCTGCAGCGCCGGAGCAGCACAGAGCAGCAGAGGGAGCTCCGGGAGCGCGGACGGGAGCAGCGCCTGCCTCCAGCCCGGCTGCTCTCAGGGCTGCGCGTCCGTCCTGCACAGCAGCTCGGAGCATGCACGACCATCCCCTGCACAGCAGCTTGGGGCTGGGTGTCCATCCCCTGCGCAGCAGCTTGGAGCTACACAACCGTCCCCTACACAGCAGCTCAGGACTGGGTGTCCATCCCCTGCACAGCAGCTCGGGGCTGGGGGTCCATTCCCTGCACAGCAGCTCGGGGCTGGGGGTCCCTCCTGCAGCGCCCGGG